CGGAGCTCAATCCCAGGACCCTGGGATCATGACCTGAGCCGAAGGCAGACACTTAACCGACTGAGCCACCCAGGCGCCCCTAATCCGTTTTTGTTTTTTTTAAGTTTATTTATTTTTTTTAATAATCTCTATGCCCAAAGTGCGGGTCGAACTCATGACCCCAAGATCAAGAGTCACATGCCCCTCCGACAGAGCGAACCAGGTGCCCCAATCTTAACCATTTTTAAGTGTACAGTTTGGTGATATCAGGTTCAGGTTTTATTTTAAGGCTTATGATCTCATCAAATTATAATCACATCAGGTTTCAGCATGTGTCACAGGGCCGGGAGCTTCCGGATTCTATTTCCACCTACTCCCATCCCATGCCACACTGTGTGCTCCTTCTGGCCCTTTCCTTAAAACTGCCAGAACCGAGCAATGTGAGTCACACTGCCCTTGTAAACCATCTTCTAAGACACTAACGTTTCAATACACATTCAGATATTTATTTTTCAGTCTTTCTCATTAAATGGCTGTCATTTTGCAAAAGAAAATATTAATCCCGAGTAAGAGCTGTGTTGTGTTGGGTTGCTTGCCAGACTAGGAATTTACACCTATGCTTCTCCGGTCCATCCCACATACAGGGGTTGTGTGATCTCAGGCACGACACGGCCCTTATGCGGGGCCTGCTTGTCATCTGTCCGCCAGCGAGTTAAACTAGACAATCTCCGAAGGGACCCAAGTGGCTGACGACACTCCCTCATGCCCCACCCCCAGGCTTCTCTTGACCCCTCACCCCAGGAGAAAGGACCGGGGTGGCAAACATCCAGAGCCTTAGAGATAGGCCTAAGCCTGATTCTGGATTCTTCCCAGAGGCCCTACTCTGCTGCTACTCACACCTCGCCTTACAGATGTCTTCCAACCAAAACTGAGGCCACATGGTCTAAAGACAAAGAGATGTATGTTCATGAGAAGTATGGGGAAGGCTGGGTCAAGCAGGAGGGGCGTGTGGGCTGGGCGGCAGGAGCAGATTTGGTGGGGCCCCGTGGGCAGGCCAGGGACAGGGCAACCGCCTGCGGGGGAAGCCAGGAGCCTCGGGGCTCTGCAAACTGACCTCTTTCTCGGTCTCCAGGTGAATGTTCTGGAGCCTGGGGCCTGGCTATGAGGTAAGACTGAGTTCAATGCAAGCACAGCCCATTAGGGCCCCACCTCTCGCCAGGAAATGCCTCCTCACCACATTGACCACATCCCCCCAGGTTGCCTAGGAAACACTCCACGGGGACTAGAGGAGTTGGGGCACCATTGCCCAGCAACAGGGGGTGACCTCCCTTCCGCCCTTATCTGAGGCAACTGCCCAGCACCCTCCTCCACAGGGAGGAGTGCTCTGAAGGGAGAGCCAGGAGCCTTGGGGCTGCCCCGAGGTAAGGTGAGGCTGCAGGAGGCCCTTGCAGGTGGGGGGCCCGGCAGGCAGAGACAAGCAAGGGAGACAGAGCCTGTGGGGGGAGGGGGCGGCGGGGACAGGTGCAGAGGTGGGGCCTGACACCTAGCACGACAGCAAGCAAAGTGGAGCCTGCAGAGAGCAAGACCCACTCCACGGAGAGTCTTGAGGCCGCCGGAGCGTCCAAGGTGCCAGCCAGCGGCGGGTGGGCGCACATACACAGGGTGGGAGCGGGCGGGGAGGAGGGAGCTTCTCATTTCCTTACCCACCACTACCTCTGAGGCCCAAGCAAGACCTGGGGCGCAGGGGCGCAGTGGGGAGGGGGTGCTAGACAGGAGGAAAGAAGCCCTCGGGGCCCTTAGGTTTCATCTGAGGCCCCCGGGTCTGAGAGGGAACCAGGGCTTCTGGAAGCAAGCTGGGGAGCCTGAGCGGGCATGTCCGGTTGCCGGCCACGGAGGGACCCTGGCTCTCCAGGCTTCTGCCTCTCTCTTGCCCTTCTGGGGTTCCCTTTGCTCCTCTGTCTGCCGGGGTCTGTTTCCCAGGCCAGATACCAAGCCCCTTGGGCCTCTGTCTCTCTCCTCACTGTGGTTTGGACACTCATGGTCTCTCTCTCTCTCTCTCTCTAGGCCCACCCTGTCTCATCTGCTTCCTCTCCCGACCCCTGTCTCTCCAAGATGCCTTCGACTCCAGAGCAGCCCTCTGGGCACACGGAGGGACTCCCTACATCAGAGCTGGGCTCGTGGCCCCCACTGCCCTGCGGGCCCTGCATCCCCATCATGCTGGCCCTGGCCTCCCTCGCTGCACTCTTCCTCCTAACGACAGCTGTGTTGGCCGAACGCCTGTTCCGCCGCTCGCAGCACCCAGACCCCAGCACCCATGCACCCACCCTGGTCTGGCGCCCCGGAGGAGAACTGTGGATTGAGCCCAAGGGCACCCCCCGAGAGCGCTCTGAGGACTGGTACGGCTCTGCGGTCCCCTTGCTGATGGACCGGGCCCCAGACCCTCCCACCCCCGGGGGCACCTTGGAGGCCCGCGCAACAGCCCCACCTGCCCCTTTAGCCCCACTCTCCCCATCCGGCTCCTTGGTCCCCCACACCCCACCCAGGGCCCCAGCCCGCAGCACCTTCTGGGGGCCCCAGCCCTGGGACAAGAGGCCCTGTGTCCCAGGCTTGGTGAGCTGGGCTGAGCCAGAACAGAGGCCAGAGGCCAACGTGTACTTGGGGAGCCCCCAGGCCCAGAGGCAGCGACTAGGAAGCCCTGATCGTGAGTGGGGCCTCCAGCCTCGGGTCACCCTGGAGCAGATCTCCGCTTTCTGGAGGCGTGAAGGTCGGGCCAGCGTGGGGTTCTGAATCCCCAGGGCCTGGAGAATTGGCCTCCCAAAGACCCCTGAGGAAGGCCCTACCTCAGAGAGTCTCTCCAACGCCTTAAGGCCCTGAAGCTCCAGCCCAGGAGCCCAAGCTGATACCTGGGTCCCCGGGCGGCCCCCCATCCGCCGCCAGCCTTTTACATCTGGATTTCAATTCCCTGGATCTGGGGCCAGGTGGGCTCTGTGTGGACAGAGCGGGTGCTCCAGAGGAAGCCCAGAGGTGCCTCCCTTTGGCTGCCCAGGCCTGCAGCACAGAGAATTGGGGATGGGGCCGACTCTGGGCCAGAAGCCACCAAAATCACAATGCAGATTAAGATCTCAAGGTACCAGAGAGGCAGAAAAGAGCATCATCACAGAGGCTTCCACCTTCCTTGTGCACCTAAGATGCCGGGATCAGAGAGCGGGGGTCCCGTGGATGCTGAAGAACAGGCTGAGTGTGGATGACGAGGGTCAGTCCCGCCAGCAAGAGAGGACAGGAAGCCAGCCTCCCAGAGCCACAGATCATGCCTCCAGGAAAACACACACAGAGGTCAAGACCAGGCAAAGGAGCGTCTTATTACACCTCAACTGTGGCTTTGACCCCCAACTTGCACCAGGGACTTGGTCAGCCAAATTGGAGAGGCCCCTTCCTTGCCTACAGCTGGGACCTCAAGTCAATGGCAGGCAGCCCTCCGACTCTGACCCCCTGCAGGGGGCGGGAGGCCAGCCAAGGAGATGTGAGTTTGATCCAATACGGAAAGGAACACTGTCCCAGGGCAGAGCGGCTCCTAATATGCGGCCTCTGGCCACCTTCCCTCCCAGCTTGCTGGATCAGTCCAGAGAGGCAGATTTGCCCCAAGGCAGGCTTATTTATAAAGCTCCATCCTGAAGAAATGGAGCCCAGAGATGTCCTTGGCCCTACAGCCATCTGTCTGAGCTGATCTCCTCTCTGGGAGAGGAGCTAGGAGCTGGGGAAAGGGGATGGGGTTTCCGTTCCCGGGGGTCCGACTTCCCCAACTTCACTCATGAATGTTAGGATTTTTGTCGTATCACTTTACCACCTGTACTATTATTTACTTTATATTTTTCTTTAAGATGATGTACTATTTGCTTAATAAATTTATCTTAAAAGGAACCTTTTTTGGGGCGCCTGGGTGGCTCAGTTGGTTAAGCAACTGCCTTTGGCTCAGGTCATGATCCTGGAGTCCCAGGATTGAGTCCCGCATCGGGCTCCCTGCTCAGCAGGGAGTCTGCTTCTCCCTCGGACCCTCCCCCCTCTCATGCTCTCTCTCTATCTCATTCCCTCTCTCAAATGAATAAATAAAATCTTTAAAAAAATAAAAATAAAAAAAAAAGGAACCTTTTTTGTATCACTTCTGCAAATGGAAAACAAGTATAGCTTGCTATAGATAGAAGGTTCAACATGAAAAGAAATACAAGGTAAACAAAGATATTAGGTAGACATTGTTCCCATTCATTGACTCAAAGATCTGCTCTTTCTTTGTTAAAGGAAAAGAGAACCGATGGATCAGCAAGGGTTAGGAAAGTGTTAGACATCCTCTTACCATCCTGCGGCGTCCTCCCTCCCCCCTCTACCCCCTGGAAGCACTGAGACAGATTGAGAGTCCTACACGGAGAGCGGCCATCCTGTGCTATTTAATGGCCAGGAACCTCCCCTGTTCACACCTGGGAAATGCTGCTGGACAAGGGCCAAGAGTCAGCTCTTCCTTCCTGCCGGGACCTCAAGCACTTGGGCTGGACCTCCCCTCTCACGCCCTGGATGCTAGAAGGAAGGAAGGAAGGAAGTAACAGCAGGGCCCTCCGCTGAGCCAGGCCCCGGGGGCGGAGGAATCAGACCTAGCCCCTGCTCTGGAGGACTTCAGTCTCTCTAGTGGCAGGGGCAGGCATTGGACGGGGTGACATAAGACAGGGACACATAACTGATACAAGCTAGGGATCAGGGCTCCCATCCCACCTCTGTCACTCAGGAGCTGGCTAATGGTGTCACTTCTCACTGTCACCATCAGCTGACAGGACTGGGTTGTGGGGACTCCACCCATGGGGAGCAAACGGTCCACCAGGAAAACACAGAGACACGCAGTGTTCAGAGTGCAGACGCTCGCCTGTCAGGGGCTCAGCAGAGGCAAGGCCCCAGCGCTCTATCTGGCTTTGCCACCCGCGCACTTGGAGACTTCAGAAAAGTGATTGTTGGGGCACCTGGGTGGCTCAGTCATTAGGCGTCTGCCTTCAGCTCAGGTCATGATCCCAGGGTCCTGGGATTGAGCCCTGCATCGGGCTCCCTGCTCTGCGGGAAGCCTGCTTCTCCCTCTCCCTCTCCCCCTGCTGTGTTCCCTCTCTGGCTGTGTCTCTCTCTGTCAAATAAATAAATAAAATCTTTTTAAAAAAATTGACCTCTAAGGATGCTATGAAATGAAAGGGGGTGTGCGCACGCATGGACGAATGTGATCTTCCTGCTGCAGAACCCAGCCTGCTGTCCCCAGAGTCATCTTTATGCTCCCAGACCCAGGCCAGGGGCCACACGTACCAGGAGCCCAAGGAAAGCGGAAGGGACGGGCAGGTCGGTGGATTAACAGGGGTCTTAGTTTTACCCTTTGTCCTTTCTCTTTGTTTTAAACCTCTCCCTCTCATTTTTAACACCCTCTTATTACTTTCTCACGTTGAGTCCTTCTTTTAATTCTTCTAATAACTCTGTTGTCTGGAGTTCTAGGGTGCTTACTTTCATCCATGACAGATGGTTTCCTCTTAAGTTTCTAATTTGGGGCTGTCAGCGGGAAGCCGCGTGACTAGATTTGAGGGTGTCTTTCTAGAGAGGTTCTGGGTTTGCTCCTGTCAAGAATGCTTCAAGGGTATTACCAAGCGTGGACCGTGTTATTTGTTCACTCTCTCTGGGCTTCCATGACCATGCAGATGGTGTAAACTCGAACCCCAAATCCAAGCCAGGGCAAGCCTTCGGCGTTGAGCTCCCGGGAGAGATTTTCTATCACCATCAAATCTCAGGGTGAGCCTGACAAGGTTCTTTTATGCCCTCTGAGCTGATGGAAAGCTTTTTTTCCTAGTTCACTCTTTCACTGAGGGTGTCCCCCTCTAAGGGGCGGAGCTTCATATTAGGGTCTCCGTTGTCAATGCCGCAGGCGAGACCTCATCTCCAGTCTCTAGGTGAGAGTACAACCCAAGCCCCTGTGTTGCCAAGATCTATAGCCTCAAAGGTCTGGTTTTCAATTTCCTCTGTGTTTGTGGGGATTCCCCTCACTTTTCTGAAACCCAGCTGTGCATTCTGAAGGATGTTTACTTGATTTTATGATGCATTTCTACATGTTTCATGGTGGGGACGAGCTCGTCAGGTTACACCGTTCATAACATCACAAGACCCAGACTGTTTGCTCTATAAGCAAGTTCAAATCTCTTCCACCTTAAAACAACCAGCCCACCAACAACCAATTCTCCACCCTTCACCACACGTGATCTCTCATCGCCTTCATGGCCCAACTTCTGGAAAAAGCTGTCTGTCCTAACAGTCTACATTTTCTCCTCTCCCCAGCACCTGCAACCTGCTGCAGGCTCCAGCATGCCTCCGGCACTCTAGAGAAACTGCTCTCACAAAAATCATGACCTGCATATATTTTTTAAAGATTTTATTTATGTATTTGACAGAGAGAGAGAGAGCACAAGCAGGGAGAGCGGCAGGCAGAGGGAGAGGGAGAAGCAGACTCCCCGCTGAGCAGGAAGCCCAATGCGGGGCTCGATCCCAGGACCCTGGGATCATGACCTGAGCCAAAGGCAGATGCCTAACCAACTGAGCCACCCAGGCGCCCCATGACCAGTATATTTTAATTAAAGGACCCTGTACAGCCTCCTGTGGGCAGCATTAGACATTCTGATTCTTTTCTTGACCTGTTCTCGCCACTTGGCTTCTGTAACTCCACACACACCTGATTTCCCTTCCCGCCCTCTGGCCATTCTGACTTGTTTGCTGTCTGCCTTCTTCAGCGGTCCATCCTGGACGGCTTTTGTTCTCTCCTGCCACCCTTCTCCCGAGCAATCTTGCTCATGCCCGGGGCTTCACCTGCTCTCTCGTACCTGACAATCCCCAAGTCTCCAACACTAACGGCAGCAGATACGATCCTCCTACATATATGCTCTGCCATTATTCCAGAGGGATAGTAACAGTGGGAGAGAAACAAGATGACTAACTAGAAGATTATCTCAGAACCACTCCACAGCTATCCCTGGGTACAGAGTCAGCATTCGTCCCCAGGATAAAACCAGAAAAAAAAGAAAAGACAGGGGTCATAAATTCACATGGGTAAAGAGGCCAAGCAGGAGACAGGTGGCCAAGGGGACCAGGGGACAAAGGTGGGAAGGGACCACATGCCCGTCTATAGGGATAGCAGCCACTTGGCTCCTTGAATCATGTTTGTCCTGATTTTCCAACAGAAGCTAGAAATCTGGGTTTTTAGGTAAAATAAACCAAAATGTTGGCCACTTTATATATATGTGTGTGTATTCTAATAAAAGCTAAATGAAGCAAGTCTGTGGGCCACGTGTGGTTCATGAACCATCAGTTGAAGATACCTTTTTTTTAAAATTTTTTTAATTTTCTTTTTTTTAAAAGATTTTATTTATTTATTTGAGAGAGAGAATGAGAGAGAGAGCACACGAGAGGGGGGAGGGTCAGAGGGAGAAGCAGACTCCCCGCTGAGCAGGGAGCCTGATGCGGGACTTGATCCTGGGACTCCAG